AAAGAAAGAAAGAGGTTATACTCATCTGCCAAAAACTGCTGAGCAATCCAGAGAGATGAAGACCAACATTCAATCGTTAGCAAGACAGAAGCACCTGTTACCTTGATAAAAGCAGTTTCCGTAGAAGAGTAAGAAATAGCCTGAATGGAATGGATTAAAGCAGATGACTCATGAGGAACTGCATACAGCTAGGCACACACCTTGTGCAGTGAGTTGTTCTGCAAAGGGGAGCAGAAACATGGTACAATATAACCAAAGAGAGGTCCAGCATTTAAGGAGTTTGTGTGCTTTTTTTTTTTTTAGGATGGGGATGTTATTGGACTTGATATGCATATTGAAATTACTCAATAGAAAGAAAAATTGGTGGCGCAAGAAGGGTGTGTTGCCTAGTCTAGGTAAGAGGGCACAGGACTTGGGACAGTTCATTGGTTGCAGCAGAGGGGAAGACCAGCCACATGATTGTAGGCACAGGTGGGTTGGTAGATTGGGGGTGGACGAGGACTGTCTTCTGACTGCTCTACTTTCTCAGTGAAATAAGAAACAAGATAATCAACCAAGCGGGAGAAGGGGCATTGCAGGCTGAAAGGAGGAGGAGCAGGTTGAAATGCTCCTCCGCAGGAATGAAAAAGAGAATCCACTGGGGGAAATGTGGTGGGGCAGGCAGTTCTGAGCTGAGCGGGATGCAGAGGGAAGCATCTTTGGGAGTGAGGAAGTTAGGACAGGGGGCTGGAGTCTGTTACCCCTTGATTACACTCTTCTTCCTCCCTGGACCTTCCAGCTCACCTGTTCTACACCCCACTCCAGATCTCAGTGCTTCCTACTCCCCAGCCCCCTCCTTTCCTGCCAGGGCTCCCTGGTCCCTCACCCTCTGTCCTACTCACTGGCAAATGCCCCACCCTGAACCTCCAGGAGTTCCCCCATGAGGCTCCAGCCGCTGCAGAAGGTCACACACTGGACAGACTGGTCCCCCCCAAGGAAGTCTTCAGGGGTCGCCAAGTTGGTACTGCCCATGCTGTCCCAGAAGCGCTCCCCATAGTCAAACCTAGGGAGAGAGGAGAGCGACAGCATTGTCATCATGCTCCACTGTCCTCGAAATTCAGCCCCCTGTTGGAGGGTAGAGGCCTTGCCCCCATTCCCTCCACTATACCTAGAAGCCCAGCACCTCCTCAGCATCTCCTACAGACGTCCCTCCCCTTCTTTTTTCCCAGCCTTACTGAGATATAACTGACATTTAACATTGTGTAAGTTTCAGGTGTACAGTGTGATGATTTGATACGTGTATATATTGTAAAATGATTACCATAGGAAGGCTCGTTAACATATCCATCACTTCACATAGTTACCTTTCCTTTTGTTGTTGTAGTAAGAAGGCTTAATTAAGATAACTGGAAATTTATATCTTTTGACCAACATCTCCCCATTTCCCCCACCTCCCAGCCCTTGGCAACCACCATCCTACTCTGTTTCTGTGAGTTCAGCTTTTTTAGATTCCACGCCAGTGAGTCTTTTTTTTTTTTTTTTAAGATTTTATTTATTTATTTGAGAGAGAGAGAATGAGAGACAGAGAGCACGAGAGGGAAGAGGGCA